TCCTTTCTTTTTTTTTTTTTTTTTTTCAAATTCAAAAGCTTTTCTGCCAGTTATTTCTTTTTCATTATCCTCGAGAAATTATTCTTTTTCTTTCCTTTTTTGAAAAGTAATTAGTTTTGCGTCGTTTTTTCTTTTTTTTCTTTTTATATATATATATATATATATATATATATATATATATCAACCATAAATCTAATAATGAAACTTATTTAACATGAAATTAATTAACTATGTATGCGTATAAATATAAATGAAAGAGATTCGTAGATTATGATTTTATTGTAACGAAAACATGTCGCGTACTCGCGTGTATATTTTTCATTGCGAAAATTTTTCCATGCTACCACATGTTAAAGAGAGAGAGAGAGAGAGAGAGAGAGAGAGAGAGAGAGAGAGAGAGAGAGAGAGAGAGAGAGAGAGAGAGAGAGAGAGAGAGAGAGAGAACGTACGTATGTCTCATAGTTTATGATTCGTAATTCGTGCACGAGCTCTCCGGCATCATGCTCGCCTACCGGTGGGCGTTTACAAAAGCATATTTCGCACGCACGTGGCGAAGAATTTCACGCGCGCGAGACAACTTTTATTTAAGTATACATGTGTGCGTGTGTATCTGTGCGCGCGCATGTATATCATCGAGCGTATATCGTCGTTTAGAACGGAAAGAGATTACCAGACTCGAGTTTGCTTGAAGATAGTGAACAATCGTTAGTTAAATCCTTCGATAAATCATTCGTTTTAGTTATTTTCGTTGAAACAAAAAATACAACAATAGAAAAAGAGAGAAAGAAAAAAGAAAAAGACATTGCTCATGATCCTAATTTATATTTAATAATTTCTCCTTTTTTCTTTTTTTTTTTTTTTTTTCATTCTCATTTTCATTTTCATTTTCATTTTCTCTCTCTTTTTCCCTCTCTCGAAATATTCTCGAATTAAAAATCTCTTAGAGGTTTTCGTTATGGTTCTTTTTATTTATTTTTTCTTTTTCCTCGTCCATTTATTTTTATTTTTTTTTCTTTCCTTTTTTTTCTTTTTTTTTTTTTTCGTTTTTCTTCGTTTTTCACTTAAACCACGGATGAAACGTCATGTCCGTCTACGTCGTTTGGAAACGAAAAAATTCAAAAGCAGTCAAACGATAACGTTAGATTTACGAGGGAGGAAAAAAAATAAGCCGTGCAGTGAGGGGGAGGTGGTGGTAGAACGGAGAGGTGTTCGTAGAGGTAGAAGAGAGATGGGACAGGAATGGGAGAGAGAGAGGTGAACGTAACGAAGCTGAACTTTTAATTACGAGCGCAAATATCATAACCGTCACTTCTCGAGCAAGCGTTGGACGTTTGCAAACGCAGAACTTCGTACAAACATACGCCCAATACACACTCACATACATACATATATATATATATATATATGTTATATATATATATATATATATATATATATATATATATATATATATATATATATAGTTGATATTAGTTGTTATAGTAGTTGATTTTCAAACGTAACTCTAGTTCATATCGAAAACTATAATCTAAAAAGTTTCTTTATTATCCTTATCATCGTAGAAATAAAGTATGGACATACATCGTAGACGTTTTAAAATGCTATCGTACGAATTAGAGTGAATTTTTTTTCTTCTTCTTCTTCTTTTTCCTTTTTTTCTCTTTCTTCGTTGCGAAAATTCGCGAATATCGAGTTAGACGTCGTATTGGTTAGTAGAACGTGTATACATAGTACTAAACGTAACGTGAAACAGACGAGTTACGTAGGGGTAGAGAAGGAAGAGGAGGATGTTCGATGGAATAAACTACAATTACGAGGAACCTGTATTGCGGAGCTTGTATTGTAAGGATCGTGAGCAAATAATCGTATCATCCCTGTCATTACGTCACGATCCACGATCTGTTACGCTCCGCTATCAAATTGTCGCTTTATAGGACGATCTAGCTAGTTACTCTATTTATCAAGATCATCAGCTATAGCATGTGAATACGTATATCTACACGTACGCATAAACACATAACAGATAAACGCACACATACAGACAGAAAGAGAGAGAGAGAGAGAGAGAGAGAGAGAGAGAAAGAGAGGATCGAAGAGAGAATAGAATAAGACGGGAAATCAGCTTATTACCTGACTGATTAATTCACCACTTGAAAGGTCAACTTGCGTCTGTTATATGAAGATATAGAAACGTCATACGTTTGTTGTTGTCATCGTCGTCGTTGTTATTATTGTTATTATTGTACCGACACCAAAATAGACGAGTGTCTGCGACGACAACAACGACGAAGACGATGATGGTAGTAGTAAATGGTGATGATTGTGGTGGTGATGGCAACGGTGGTGAAGATGGTGGTGGTGGTGGTAACTTCAACGAGAAACAGACGTTCGCGTTTATCGTACGCACGTGGTTAACCGCCCACGCACCAATACATATACATATAGACACAACGTATAAGCATAGAGAGAGAGAGAGAGAGAGAAAGAGGCATGTTCTGTTGAACGTATTCGTCTGTCTCTCGATGGTCGACGAAGAAGCGTCATGGTGGTGGTAGAGCTGGGGGAAGGATGAAGAAGGACAGAGAGATACCGGTCGATCTGGATCCCGCTTGAAACGAGCGAAAAAGAGAAAGAAAGAAAGAGACTGAGAGAGAGAGAGAGAGGGAGAGAGAGAATGAGCATGAGTTAGCCACAGAGAGCAGCGTGGAAATAAAGCGCGCGTCGCCTACGTCTAAATATAAAGTGTGAAGTCTGAGCGTGCTAGTGGTGACCGATGATGAAGAACGTCAAGATGATGAGAGTAAGAGAGAGAGAGAGAGAGAGAGAGAGAGAGAGAGAGAGAGAGAGAGAGAAAGAAAGAAAGAAAGAAAGAGATATATAGTATAGTACGATGACACTGTGTCGTTGACTGTTCTCCTTTTTTTCTTTTTTTCATTTTTTTTCTTGTTCTTTTCTCTCGTTTTTTTTTCTTTTTTTTTTTTTTTTTTTAAATTCTTCGGGAAATTTAGTGAAAAATAGGGGTCTTTCTTTTTTTGCACGAGGAAGAAAAAATGAGAAGAGGAGGAAGAGAAAGAAGAGGAGAGGGAGAGGAGGAAGACGCTTGAAGAGAGAAGGATCGCAAAGACACACGAAAGACGAAGAGGAGGAACGGTCCTCTTGGCTGATGCTGCTACTCCAGTTGCAGTACTCTCGCAGTTACGCGCCGTGGTAGGCGTTTACTTCTCTGCTCCGTCGTCGTAGTCGTAGTCGTAGTCGTTGTTGTTGTCTTCGTCATTGTCATCGTCGTCATCATCGTCGTCGTCGTCGTAATCGTTCCTCGATCGTTCCGCTACGTTTTTTGCGAAACGTTTGTTACGAAAAAGAAAAAAAAAAGAAGAGAGAACAAAAGAACGAAGAAGAGAAGAAGGAACGAAGAGAGAGAGAGAGAGAGAAAGAGAGAGAGAGAGAGAGAGAGAGAGAGAGAGAGAGAGAGAGAGAGAGAGAGATGAGAGTAAAAATAAAAGAGAAACGTTGCCATTGGTTGTGTGGAGTCGTGCGAAGGCAAAGAAACGATCGAGCTTATTAACTCGCCAATTATCGTTCGTTCTCGATAATTAGCAGAGAGGAAGATAACAAAAGTGTAGATGGAACCATGCGGAACGATGAAAACAGACGCGCGGAATTCGATATGGTTTCTCCTATGTAAATCATCGTCGTGCAAGTTGTTGTATTGTTTGTGAAAAAAAGGAAAAAAAAGAAAGAGAGAGAGCAAAAAAAAGAATAATAATAATAATAATAATAATAATAATAATAATAATAATAATAAAAGATTAGGAAAAATCTAGAGAGAAGTAAGAGAAAACAAAATACATAAGAAAAACAAGAGAACAAATCGTTTTGTATGTAATATTGTACGTAGATTAAGTGGGCGGTGGTTGGGGGGCAGGGAGAGGGGAAAAGATACTTATTTAAGTACGAGTAACATCGGCTCGCGTTCACATCCTTGCGATCACGGTGTAATTAATTATTCTCGGCGTGTTTCAACGACATTTGAATTAACGATACCACCACGGACCGTGAGAGGAAACCTTAATAGCCTTAAAATTGGACCGAGCGTGAAAGTTCGAAGAGACGACCGCCTGTGTAACGAAAGATGTATTAATAAAGAAGTAAGGACGCATAGTTACGTTTCATCGATTACTTAATTATTATAACATATTGAATGACCTTTAATTAACGTAAATATGGATATAGATCGAGAATAGAGATATAACGAATGGATGAGTCGAAGAAAGTTATGAGAGAAGGCAAAATTTGTTGACGACGTCGCTCTACCGTAATCGAAAAGATCGAGAGAACGATCGAACGATCGATCGAACGAACGGATCGAGCGATCGATCGATCGATAGATAGATAGATGGATAAATAGATGGATAGATAGGTAGATAGATCGATCGAGGAATCGTGACGATACACATAGGAGAGGCCTAAGTGCAAACGCGTGTATCCAGGAGCGGCGGCTTGATGTCCTTCCTGCAGATAATCCTGCTGCTAGAACGTTTTCCACGCTGTGGTCCGAACGAAAGGCTCGGTCGGTAAATCAGTCGCGTTCCCTTCTTCCACCTTTCTCCGTAACCTTCTACTCGGTACCGTACTACAGTTACACCGTTGCCCACGGTTACGAGATTAAGCTAACGCATGCAATTACAGGATTAAATCCTTGGACGTACCTCGACTAGATTTAAAAGCTCTCTTCTCTGTATCTATCTTGCTTTCTCTCTCTCTCTTTCTCTCTCTCTCTCTCTCTTTCTCTGTATGTGATACACACACACACACACACACACACACACACACACGTATATATATATATGTATATATATATATATGTATATATTCCTCGGTGAAATTCTCGTGTGCCGCGAACGTAATATCGTTTTCGTTCTCGCGAAGAGGAACAAAGTGCGATCAAAGAGAATATTAGAATAAATAGCGTTTTGGCTCGTGTCACCTGTAATTCGAAGTGCCTCGAGATGGAACAATTTCCGACAGACGGATCCGAGGATCGCAGGAAGAGGCTATCGACGATCACGGAGTATTCCGAATCTGCATTCGACAGCGACAATGACGTTGTCCCACCGGACGACAACCTGCCGATTCCTCGAATGAAAATGGAAACCGATTCGGAGAACGAACACTTTCTTCTCGTGGACGATTCCAAGTGTGGTGGCACCATACGTTGCATCAAATGGACTGCCAGGAAAGTGAGTATTTATTTTTGATTTAGACGACGTCGAATTAGAAATAGAGCATAAACAAGAAGAAAGGGTTACGCCCACTCTCTGCCTCTCTCCCCTCCAAAAAAAGAAAAAGTACAAAATTGAAATATCATTCTTCTTCTTCATCTATTCTTTTTCTTTTTTTTTTTTTTTTTTTTTTTTTTCATTTTTTTTAATTCGTTCGATCTTCCCCGATAGGGAAGACGTTTTACGTCTACTTCCAATCGACTTTTAAAAAGAATTCAAAGAACGTTCGTCTATACGAGGTCATTCGATTCTCCTTTTAACCTCTTTTACTTTAAGGCGTCTTCTTCTTCTTCGTCTTCTTCATCTTCTTCCTCTTTCTCAGAGATGGAGAGGTATTGGATTTCTAGAAGACTGCCTTTGCTTCTCCCATATCGTATTGACATTGCAGCTGTGACTCTCTTTCTCTCTATCTCTCTGTCCGTCTCTCCTTTCTTTCTCTCTCTCTCTCTCTCTCTCTTTCTCTCGATACGAAACAGCCGAAAGGAATAAATATAGTCTGGAGTAGTTCTCCTTTGGGTTTGCCATTAAGAGAGACGGATACGCGATATAGGTATGTAGGTAAGGAAGTAAGTAACTATACGTCTTCCTTAGGTACACGCAAGATTTCGTTTTCGGTTGGAAAAATCCAATTCTTTATTTTCTTTTTCTTTTTCTCTCTTTCTACTCTCTCTCTCTCCTCTCTCCTCTCACGATATCTTTCATCTCTGTATCAAGGTTTACGTACGATATCTTTTAAAAACAAACGTGTGTATATACACGTATAATATGTTTCTTTCTTCTTTCTTTTTTCCTCTACGTCTTCCTTGTTGTATCTTAAACATGTTTATATTTAGAATGACCTTAACAAGAATAGATAGAATCGTAGTTCTCGATCGATTCCAATGGTTGTGGTACTCATATGCAAATGGACGTTTAGGTAAGTAGGTAGGTAGGTAGGTAGGTAGGTAGGTAGGTAGGAGAGGAACTCGCGCGCGCACTGCTGGATCTCGAGGCGAGAGAATTTAGCGAGCGACGCGTTAATGAACTCGCTGACAACGTTCTCATTGCCGGTCTGCCCGCGGCCATATATCTCTGGCGGGCGGCATGGCTGAAGCCATCCTCCAAGTTGACGGCGTGACGCTCGTGGAACGCGGGCTCGTGATAGGCAAAAATTAGAGTCCGCATGCGCGCACACACGCATGGACACGGCATGGAGACACGTAGAGACGTAGGTTAGGTATCACGTAGTTACGTGTAGAAGCACTATCCATTTCTCTTCTGATGCCCCTTCCTTCTCTCCCTCTCTCTCTCTCTCTCTCTCCCTCCCTTTGCCCTTTCTGCACCTTCAACGTGACAGCGGCAGTGCTCTTCCTGTCTTCTTGAACCTTCTCATCGTATACTCGTCGGAGAATGCAAAGATCGCCTGCTCTTGAGTCTACGTACCTGTCATCTCTCTCTCTCTCTCTCTCTCTCTCTCTCTCTTTTTATCTATCTATCTATCTATCTATCTATCTATCCATCCATCTCTATCTTTTTTATTCAGATGAAAAGAGAGCAGTGAGAGAAAGATAGAGAAGATATATATAACGAGGAGAAAAGGAGATAGAAAAGTAGGGGATAAGAGAAAGATGAAGAAAGAACGGCGGGTGGTTGGGGGTGGTGTTAGATGTTAGAGAAGGGCGGATTGTGCTGGAAGAAGCTCAAGAAAAAGAAGTGAAAGAAGAAAAAGTAGAAGAAGAAGCTACCACCTCTTGTTTGATGCTACAAACATTCTCTTAGCCTTTCTGAAGCTCTTTTCAGAATCAGAGAGAGAAAGAGAGAGATAGAGATGTCAGAGAATCGTAGTACTTTAAGAATGAAATGACCTATTTCGTGAAACTGACCTATGTAAGGTACTGGGAATCGTTTTACATCAGCTTTCGTTTTACATAAGCCCTTTTGTGATATTTTATACGATTGAGATATTTATGGAAATTCCATTAGAATTTATTCCGTTGTTCGTAGAATAAACTTTGTTTATTGGTGTATTCTAGGAAACAATTATAGCTTTCGAAACGCGTTCGTCGTTTGAAAACAGATACGAGCGAAGCTGAAGCGTGGCGTGAATTTATAGAAGGGTGGAAAAGAGGTGGGAAAATTAAAGAGGGTGAGGTGAGATGGAGTCAAGTAAACTTCCCCTAAACTTTTCTAATTTTTCTTTCTCTCTTTCTCTCTCTCTCTCTCTCTCTCTCTCTTTCTCTCGCTCTATCTTTCGATCTCGATTTAGATCTCGATTTCGGTCTTGTCGAAGACTGATAATGAGTCTTTCGTTGTCACACACAAACGCATACACACACATACACACATACATACATACATACATAGATACACACATACATAGATACACACATTTTCGTTATACTTTGTCGCCCCGACTTATATACATTAGAAGTTGAGAGAGACGATTGAACATGGAGAACGTAATTAAGTATGTACCTACCTACATAGAGAAAGAGAGAGAGAGAGAGAGAAAAGATTACTCCTCTATAAGATGTTCATTAGCAAGAGAAATTAGTTACTGTCTCGCGAATACGGTAGCAGAAGACTCCGATGTTCTTGCTATAAGGAGTAAGGAAGATCGAGAGAGAGAGAGAGAGAGAGAGAGAGAGAGAGAGAGAGAGAAAATGGTGATGGGGAGGTTGAGTTGTAGAGCATTCGCGTTAGAAGCTGAGAACCGATTAGATGTAACCAAACGTGCGAAGACACGCTCGTTTCCACACGGCTTGTGCAGTATGTATCGTCTCTTGACAATACCTTAAGGATATAGCTAAGCGAAATGGCACTATCGTGTTAAGCAAATGTTACCATCCTATCGGCTAATGGCACGTGACCTCCGTGTAGTTCTCGTTCGCTTCCGCGTAAAAGGGAGGAGGAAGAAAAAAAAGAAGAGGGGGAAAAAGAGAGAGATAGAGAAAGAAAGTGGTTAGCTTTGGTAGTTTACCGAGGATTAAATATTCGTTTTACGATTATTTCTTGTATATTTTATCGAAAACATTTTCGAATAATTTAGCACTCTAGGGTATATGGAAAGAAATAACTTTACTCATGTTTTAAAATTATATACGATCTTTAGTCATTCGAATGGTTACTAAATATATATCTGTGTGTGTGTGTGTGTGTGTGTGTGTGTGTGTATATAAATATTTTTATATGGGATAAGAGAAGAAATATACATACATATATGTATTTAAGTAGCTACTTATGTACGTACGTATATATGTACGTAGACGTATGTAATAATTTAATTTGAAAGTCGAATTTGGTATTTTCGACAGCTGTAGTAACACGTGTATTATATATCTACCATTGGAAAGAGGTTTTGATTTTTCGTACGATTTCGGCTTATTCCATGAAACTTTTTGTGGCACAACAGACAAAGTGTCGTTTCGCGCGGCCATCCAACCTTGCACCAGATGGCCAAAAATAGTATCGCGCTAGGCACTCGCGGGTTCTTATACTAGGGTTGCGCCCGACTGAAAATTCTTTCCGGCTGCGCCTCTGAGCTCGAAGGACGCTCATAAATATCCTGACCTTTTCTCTTTCCCTCTCTTTTCTCTTTCTCTCTCTCTCTCTCTCTCTCTCTATCGCTCTCTTTCTGTCTCTCTTTCTGTTTCTCTTTCTCTGCCTCTCTCTCTCTCTCTCTCTTTTAGCCAGGAGGATGATGGCATTCGAAATAAAATAATAAAAAGAGAGAGAATGATGGTATCGACAGTCACGCGAGATGTCGATTCTTCTCACCTCTTTTCATTCAAAGACGTATATTCGTATCTCAAAAAATCGATGCGGACCAATTTCCTCCGATGGTTCTTTTTCAATCTCTTCTCTCTCTCTCTCTCTCTCTCTCTCTATCTCTCTCCCCTTCTATTTCATGTGCTTTGAAAAAGAGAAAAAGAAGAAGACTACTATGTATTACATTATGTGTATGTGTGTGACTGATTTTGAATATTTGCATAATCGCAGGAACATTTTATCGCGATCGGGAATCGTTTTATCGTTATCGAAAGTCATAAATATTGGGATCGGACCATCGAGAGAACAATATGTCGTTGCGCGAAATCGTTATGCCAATCAATAGATAGATAGATAGATAGATATATAAAGAGATAAATAAAAGCGAATAAATAAAGAGAAAAGAAGAGAAAAAGAGAGTACAATATACCTAGGGCAAAAGTCGTAATTGCAACTAGATAATTAAGTACTTAGTTACTTACATACGTACATTGCATACATACGGTACGCTTTGGTAGAAAACAGCCACAGAGGAGATCTCCGTCGATCCTTTCGATCCATTCTCTTTCAGCTCGACGACCAAAGAGAGAAAGAGAGGTATTGAAAGACACCGAGAGAGAGAGAGAGAGAGAGAGAGAGAGAGAGAGAGAGAGAGAAAGAGATCGTGTCGTTGAACTCGACCGCGACCCCTCGCAATGATTTTATTCTCTCTGGCACGCTGTCCGGTACATTCCTTTCCCGGTAAAAGTCATTCCGTGAGAAAAGAGCGGACGCGTGGAACCGCGAAGCCACCTCTTCCTTGCCACTAAGTCTCCCCTCTCTAACCCCTCTTCGCCTCCCTTCCCCCCCCATTCGCCCATCGAACCAACCAACCCCACGCCCCGCGCCCTTCTCGTCGATCCCTTCCTTCGACGAATCTTTTAATCCAATCTCGTTCATCGTAATTATTTACGTACCGTTAAATGGAACGACGAATAGATCCAAAGAATCCCTTTTTTCTTTTTTTTTCATTTTCATTTTCTTTTTCTTTCCTTCTTTTTTTTTTTCTTCTTCTTCTACTTCTTCAAATATCTCGATCATTTGCTCTAATCTCTTAATCTTCTCTCTCTCTCTTTTTTCTTTTTTTTTTCTTTTTTGTACCCTTGTCCACACATTAAACTCTTCTCTTCGATACGTTCATCCCGAGAAAATACGGTTTACTCTTTGCTCTT